GGGGACATGGGGGGACACGGGGGACATGGGGGACACGGTAACACACAGGTGACACGGGGGTGGCATGGGTGACACGGTGACAGGGGTGACACTGAGGCATGCAGGTGACACAGGTAACACGGGGGTGACACCGGGGTGGCACCGAGACATGCCGGGTGACACGTGGGTGACACGGGGGTGGCACTGTGGGTGTGAGGGTGGCGCGGCCGGGGCGGGGTTGGGGGTGCAGGTGAGCTGGGGGGGGCAGGGGAGTGTGCAAGGGGGCGTGCAAGGACGTCCCCAGGTGACCCCAGGTGTCCCCAGGTGACCTCAGGTGTGTCCCCAGGTGATTCCAGGTGTGTCACGTACATTGGCGTGTCCCCAGGGCGTGTCCCTTGCACACTCAGGTGTCCCCAGGGTGTGTCCCCTGTCACACCCATGTGTCCCCTGTCCCCAGGGCATGTCCCTTGCACTCTCAGGTGTCCCCAGGTGTGTCCCTCGCACACTCAGGTGTCCTCAGGGCATGTCCCTTGCACACTCAGGTGTCGCCAGGGCGTGTCCCCTGTCACACTCGCTTGTCCCCTGTCCCCAGGGCGTGTCCCTCACACTCTCAGGTGTCTCCAGGTGTGTCCCTCGCACACTCAGGTGTCCCCAGGGCGTGTCCCCTGTCACACCCGCGTGTCCCCCGTCCCCAGGGCGTGTCCCTTGCACACTCAGGTGTCCCCAGGGTGTGTCCCTCGCACTCTCAGGTGTCCCCAGGTGTGTCCCCTGTCACACCCAGGTGTCCCCTGTCCCCAGGGTGTGTCCCTCGCACACTCAGGTGACCCCAGGGCATGTCCCTTGCACAGTCAGGTGACCCCAGGGTGTGTCCCTCACACACTCAGGTGTCCCCAGGGCATGTCCCCTGTCACACCCAGGTGTCCCCTGTCCCCAGGGCGTGTCCCTTGCACACTCAGGTGACCCCAGGGTGTGTCCCTCACACACTCAGGTGTCCCCAGGGCGTGTCCCCTGTCACACCCAGGTGTCCCCTGTCCCCAGGGCGTGCCCCTCGCACTCTCAGGTGTCCCCAGGGCGTGTCCCCTGTCACACCCAGGTGTCCCCTGTCCCCAGGGCGTGTCCCTTGCAGTCTCAGGTGTCCCCAGGGCGTGCCCCTTGCACTCTCAGGTGTCCCCAGGGCGTGTCCCCTGTCACACCCGCGTGTCCCCCGTCCCCAGGGCGTGTCCCTTGCACTCTCAGGTGTCCCCAGGGCGTGTCCCCTGTCACACCCAGGTGTCCCCTGTCCCCAGGGCGTGTCCCTCGCACACTCAGGTGTCCCCAGGGCGTGTCCCCTGTCACACCCGCGTGTCCCCCGTCCCCAGGGCGTGCCCCTTGCACACGCGTGTGCGCAGGCGTCCCCGCCCTCGCTGTGGTTTCGCGGCCGCGGGGAGCAGGAAGCGCCTCGAGCGCGGCCTCCGCCTTCCTGCCACCCCCACGGGGACAGAGCCGGGACCCCCGTGGCGTGTCCCCCGCGTGCCCGGCCGTGTCCCCCGCGCCGTGTCCCCGTGTCCCCGCGTCCCCATGTCCCTGGCGCTCAAGGCCCGGCAGCGGGCGAGGCGCAAGGGCGGCTCCCGGGAGCGCCTCTTCGGCTGCGACCTCCGCGAGCATCTCCAGCGCTCGGGGCAGGACGGTGAGTGCCACCAGCCAGCCCACCCCCCGAGGGCCACCGGGGCCACCGGGGCCACCGGGGCCACCGGGGCCACCGGAGGAAGTGGGGAAGGGGCCCCGGAGGGGACTCGGAGGGGACTTGCGCCACGCGTTGCGTCACCGGAGCTCCAGGAAGCGTCGCGGCCACCGAGGCTCGGCCGGGATTTGGGGGGGTTGGAGCTCGGTGGGGCTCCAATCTCAGGGGGTTGGCCCTGAGGGGTGGGGGGGTCCGTTCCTTGGGGTCACTGGCTCCAGCCTTTGGGATCTGGTGGCCTCATCTTCACGGATTTGGTGGCCTCATCCCCGTGGATTTGGTGGCTTCATCCTTTGGGATTTGGTGGTCTCATCCTCATGGACTTGGTGGCTCCATCCTTTGGGATTTGCTGGCCTTGTTCCTTGGGATTTGGCGGCCTCATCCCCGGGGATTTGGTGGCTCCATCCTCTGGGATCTGGTGACTTTGTCCTTCTGGGGTTGGTGGCTCCATCCTCTGGAACGTGGTGGCCTCATCCCCATGGATTTGGTGGCCTCATTCTGGCAGAGTTGGTGTCCTCATTTCTGGGGATTTGGTGGCCTCATTCCCATGGAACCAGTGATCCCAGTGTGGATTTGGTGGCCCAGGACCAGCGCAGGGACCCAGTGGGGACATCCAGGGGGTGCTGGCCAAAGTCCTCCCCATCCCCCAGTGCCGGTGGGGCCAGGCCCAGGTGGGCAGTGCCGGATCCGGGATTTGGGTCCAGGCCCAGGTGGGCAATGCTGGATCTGGAATTTGGGTTTGGGTTCAGGTGGGTGGTGCCAGATCCAGGTCTGGAGCTGGGTCCAGCAGGCACTGATGGATCCAGGATCAGCTTGGTTCTGGTGGATCCAGGATCAGTCAGAGCCTGGTGGATCCAGGATCAGCTGGGTTCTGGTGGATCCAGGATCAGTCAGAGCCTGGTGGATCCAGGATCAGCTTGATTCTGATGGATCCAGGATCACAGGATCAGCTGGGCTCTGGTGGATCCAGGGTCAGTCAGAGCCTGGTGGATCTGGGACCGGTGAGATCTGGGATCACTGGGATCCCCTGGGATCTGGGCTCACCGGAATCCCCTGGGATCTGGGATCACTGGGATCCCCGGGATCTGGGCTCACCGGAATCCCCTGGGATCCAGGATCACTGTGATCCCCGGGATCCGGGCTCACCGGGATCCCCGGCGTGTCCCGCAGTGCCGCAGGTGCTCCGGAGCTGCACGGAGTTCGTGGAGCAGCACGGGGTGGTCGATGGCATCTACCGCCTGTCCGGGGTGTCCTCCAACACCCAGCGGCTGCGGTCAGCGGGAGCGGCGGCGGGACGGGATCGATGGGATCAGCGGGATGGGATCAATGGGATGGGATCAATGGGATCAGTGGGATGGGATCGATGGGGTGGGATGGGATCAGTGGGGTGGGATAGATGGGGTGGGATCGATGGGATCAGCGGAATGGGATCCGTGGGGTGGGATGGGATGGGATGGGATGGGATGGGATTGGTGGGATGGGATCAGTGGGATGGGATCAATGGGATGGGATCAGTGGGATGGGATCAGTGGCATGGGATCGATGGGATGGGATCAGTGGGATCAATGGGATCAGTGGGATGGGATCGATGGGGTGGGATCGATGGGATCAGTGGGATGGGATAGATGGATGGGATGGGA